TATGTTGCAGAGCGCACCTGTCGAAGTGATAGTGTACCTGTCGAAGTGTCTCTCTATCTGCTAAAGCAACACAGCCGTACCAGTAGCTCTGGAGCTTTACAGGCAGAAACGTATATGCCTCAACTTTACTGGAGTCCCAGAAACGTATATGCCTCAACTTTACTGGAGTCCCAGAAACGTATATGCCTCAACTTTACTGGAGTCCCAGACAGTACGGTATGATGAATGAGAGATGTATATGAATCCAGTAAATGCTTGCTGAACAATATATGTATACTGTGCTTTTATGCGTTCTCTCTAAACGTGTATGCATGAACAGTTCATACAAATTTCAAGAAGTAGCACAATTCCTTCTACATGCTTTATTCAATACAGTTTGGGCTTGATGGAGGAATTTTGCAGAAACAAACTTCAGTTATATATTACGTCTCTCTTTGCTTCTGTAAACCAAAGGTAAAATAACCACTCATACACGTTGGTCGCAATAATGCCTTCACACCTCGACATTCAAGATAAGTTAAAAAAAGAAGTCAAAAGTATTTGTTCTTAGAACACCGCGAAGACACGTTTATTTCCTTAAAAAAAAGAATCATTAAAACTTTTCTTCGGATGACTAAATGTAATTTGCCTATAAAGTAGAGCATATATTTAGCCGTGTTTGGACAATGAATTGAATATTCAAGATTACATCGATCATTAAGAAATTCAAGCGAAATAAACTTTATGTTCGTAACAGGCATGGATTCATAATACGCAGAAGATAAATTAAGATTCTGCAGTACATAGATGTTGCTATAACATCGTGAACTTGAACCCACTAGAATATGTAGTATTAGTAGAAAATTCGCTCAGTCCAACTGTAGAGCATTCTTGTTTGAGCGATTTCGAAAATCTGAAACATTCAAAAACTCGAAAAAATAATATGGACCAATGCCACTTTGATTATCTGAAGTTCTGCTCCATAAAACATAATGCATTTACAATAGACGATACTAAGTGATTATTATGTTCTTTTGCACATTTATAACTATTAGATTATAATCAATTCCATCTAAAGAGTCAAGCAGGGAATAAAATGCATATTGAGTGGAAATGACAAACTGTTTGAGTTATTAATCCCTACATTCTAAACACGGAACTGACGCAATCATAAGAGATTTTCACTTTATGCTGTCGCTGTTTTCCGACGAGTATAAACTTTACAAATAAGCGCAGTTTGGAGAAGTATAGTTTTTTTTTCTTTTCTAATTTAATCTCTATCTGAATCAAATGTTGAAACGTTTTGATGAAACAGGATGTTAATATGGAAACAATTGTACTTTTTTGTCAATTTATTATGCATTTCTTATTCTTTGAAAGAAAATTTCCGCCAGGACGTTTTATATGAAAATCAAGTTTATGATTTCGAGCTCCGTCTAATCGGTTAAACTATTGCTGATAAATGTGTGTGTGTGTGTGTGTGTGTGTGTGTGTGTGTGTGTGTGTGAGCGTTATACACAGCAGCATTCATAACACAAATGGCAACACTGGTGTTTTAATAAATCAGAACTCAAGAATGAAAAGGAGTGTGTCGAGATCTCAAACAAAATTATGACGATGTTTTTGTTGTTGTTGTTGATGATGATGATGATGATGATGATGATGATGATGATGATGATGATGATGATGATGATGATGATGATGATGATGATGATGATGATGATGATGGTGATGATGAACCTGTATCTTCGGTTCCGTGTTAACATACATAAACACATTTTAGATGCGGGGAAGGGGATAGAAACAAAAATTTGACATATGGTACATTTAAACAAGTTATTCACAAGTGAAGCGCTATTTTGAAGAGAGATAACTTCTTTACTAAGTAAACAAAATGAACAAGTGGCTTCCCGCGCATAACATTTTTACTGGCAATTTTGTGTGGTTCATCTAAGTTGGTTTTAACGTTACTTTTAACATTGGCTAAAACATACCAAAGTAAAGGGAGCTAAGTGCTTTTCCAAAAGAAATATTGAGGAAACCAGATAATGCTTGTATCTAACCAGCGACACTGGGATAACTAGAGCGACGCTCTACAAACTGAGCGACCGCGGCTTCCCCAGCTTAGAGTCTAAACAGATTCCACAAGATCTAATTATCAAAAACAACAGTTTCAGGTTTAATATTCCGTCTTGGTGATGACAGTGAATATTTTGAGCATATGGCTCCTGATGGGCACATATGTACCTAATTCTCACTGCTAGGTGTATCTAGATTACATTATGGTAATACTGTCAGGGCCGACAAGGGGGGGGACAACCGGAGATATATGCCCGGGGCCTGGATACATAAGGAGGCCCGGGCCGGACAACACTTTTTAATTTTATAAAAGAAAAGTTTTGTTAGAACGAGAACTAGGAGATGCCTAGCTGTTTCTTACCCCAGGGCCCGTGATCGTTATCTACGGCCCTGAACACTGCTGGGGTATATGCAAAATTATATAACAAACTGCCGCTAAAAACAATCTGATTTTTGTTAGTTTCACATAAATTGACTTGGTCCAAAATATTCATATTAGATTTTAATTTATCCCTTTAACGTGCAAGAGGGAGCGGTGATTGTTCATTCGGTAGAACGTGTTCGTAATTAATGGGTCGCTTGAGTTATACTTGCCCAGGCCAGCCAGGTCAGCTGCTTCGATGTTTCCTTTGGAAATTCACGTAACTCCCACTTCATCGGCATGATACAGCCAATAATGTATTACAAGTGCCTGCAAAACAAACAAAAAGGCAAATGAAAGTCAATAACAGTTTGAACTTTGAGGCTTCTCACCCTAAATGACCACTACGTTTTTGGTCGGAATGAAGTGGAGTCAAGACGGTTGTATTTAGGTTTGAAATGTTTTATTTTTCAGCGAAGTTCAACAACTACAAGAAATAAAAGTATTTCTTCTTATGGCAATTTATGATATAGTTTTACTTATCAGAAACTAATATAATGCAGTCTAAATATGGTGTGTATATAGAATTACTTACAGCGTACATTATCTTTTGTGACTAATTGAAGACATATAGGCATAATACAAGGTGCAGGTACCTAACCTACATGATGAAATGAACATTAAATCTCTCTCTCTCTCTCTCTCTCTCTCTCTCTCTCTCTCTCTCTCTCTCTCTCTCTCTCTCTCTCTCTCTCTCTCTCTCTCTCTCTCTTAATTTTTGGCATTCTCACGAATATTTAGTTCATTTCTTCCTGAATCTGTTACAGAGAAATCTGGTTAAACAAAGAATAAAAACAATATCGATGTCTCAACACGAAAAAGACAATTCTTATACTACGATACTACGAACGTCTATGATTTTCCATATAATATGTATACAAAAAATACAAATCTCTCTCTCTCTCTCTCTCTCTCTCTCTCTCTCTCTCTCTCTCTCTCTCTCTCTCTCTCTCTCTCTCTCTCTCTCTCTCTCTCACATAGAAATAGACTGGATAGAGAGACTCTTCCCCAGATGCCCCGTGTTGACGGTATAGCCTGTTGGAAATTCAATTTGCTTCTGCTGGACGATACAACATAGGTGTATCGTTTACCTGAACGGTTTTTTGTTTGCATTGACACTAGTCCATCTAATTTATTCTGAACTAGGAGTGTGTTGTAGATATAAATCTACATTACAGTGTATTTTGTTTTCTTTATCGTTATCGTTTTTGTCAGCGTTTTGAGTCTGAAGAACAGAGACAACAAAATTGTCCCAGCTTCAACATAACAGCAAGAGTAATTGTTGTATGTATTTCTTTACCTTTTCCTGTATGTGTGTCCAAAGTAATAGTTACACGAGTTCCATTCGCACATTTGAAATGATTTTGTCAGGAGGAAAAGTTGGCGAGTGTTGAAAGTTAAATCCGAAGGAAGTTCATCTAAATTATAACTTGTGGTTGGTGGAAACATTTAAATCGACATGAAGTTTTCCCTAAACTACCATTAGAGGGTGGTAGGAATATTTAAATATATTCAGCACGTATATAATGCTGCATCAAAGCCTTGGTCCAGTCATAACGTCCCACGTTTGGTTCTTGTGGTAGCAATCTTCATTCCATGATGGTACTTGATGTCAGAAGTTTAGTTTGATTGACAAATTAGAGTTTTTAAGAACAATCTTTATACATAATATGATTTCATATTTACTATCCTCATGGTATCATTTACAAATATTATGTTGCTAATAAGGAAAATCATATCAGATTTTCTGAATGTAGCCAAAAAGTCTTAATGACGGGTTTTCGGTTGTGTTTTTTTTTAAAACAGATAGCAGGGTTGTGTGCATTATACTTACAGTGAATGTTTGCGATAATTCGCCATCATGGTTTCAGTTTTACTATTTATGTCCTATGTTTGTTTTATGAATTTCGTAAATTTAAACGATTATTACTGAATAATTATTTGTTGTTCTTGTTCTTGTTCTTGTTTTGGGGCTTAACACCATTTTTCAGCACACGATAGGCTATACATGGTAGCCAGCGTTAATGGTGGAGGAAGAAACCTGGAAATCCGCAGAAAGAACCACCGATCCAGAATAAGTATTTATCAAAAAATAAACAATGTTCCACCACGCAAATCAGATTGTCTCTTAATTCTTCATCTAATGGCAATACAAGTCCTGAGAAGCCACAGAACATTGAAAAAGGAAAGAAAATCAGCAAAAAAATTCAAAATAAGTAATGACAAAGAAATTGCATACCCCCATTAAAATTATTATATATAACATTCATTTTTGTGCTCGAGCAAAATAAAAGATTTAAAAAAATTATATTTGATATATTTTACTCATTTCTCAAATTGCATCTAAGTTATGCGTTTAAATTAGTTCGCACGCTGAATCGTTGATAGTATGTCATTTGTTGAATATAACTATAGCAACACATTCTCTAAGCTTTCAACACATTTCATGATATCATAAACGTTGATATTCATAAGCACCAATATCACGTCGAACACCACATAAGGACGATATTCTTAAAATGCTCCAGTGATCTAGTGGTTAGAGCATCCGCCTCGGATGCGAGAGATCGTGGGTTCGATCCCCGGTTGAGTCATACCAAAGACTTACAAAAATGGTACTAACAGCTGCCTCGCTTGACGCTCAGCATTAAGAGGTTAGGTTTAGGACTGGTTGGCCTGGTATCAGGGTAATGTGACTGGGTGGGACATCATGCTACATGTCTGCGGCATGATGTTCCATTGCTAGACATCACTAAAAAGTGCCACACTGCAGACATCGTAACGATATGACTGAAAAATTGTTAAAGCTACGTTAATAGATCATAATCATAAACACACTTAAAATGCTGCCCTTTTGGGCACAGACAATTTGTACAGAACAGAAAATAAACTGAATTTTAGTGGTCTAAACTAAGATTATCAAAAAGTAGAAACCATGTTTAAGGAATGAGGCGATGATGTTGAACAGTCTGGAATTAAGAAAACAAGCTTAATCTTAGTATTATTAAGGTATAAATACACTAATTATGCACCGGATGTTGTTCCTTCATTTTTAATTAATTTTTAATGCAAGTGAATGTATTACTTATATATCTAGTTACAACAGCACTTTCTTACTTACGTTTGAAATTAGTTTATAAAAAAAATCAGCATTTGATTATGCAGATGATTTTTAAAATAGTGCCATTTAAATAAAATGACTGTAATTTGTAGTACTTACGGCTATTATAGAACCGACCTTATTACTTCGCTTTTTGGTTCTACGCAAATAACTAGAGACATAAACATTAATTCATTCTCTTTAGGCTTTTGCTTAGCTTTCTAATGCACGCAAGAAACTAAATCTTCCGGAAATATCATTCAAACATATCAATGATTTTCTAAATGACTACAATAGGATACAATATCATCCGAATAGTCCCATTAGGAGTGCGATACCTTAAGTACTGGGAACCCGAGTAACCGAGTGGTCAAAAGTGTTTACCGTTACGGGTCATTGCAATCTCACCTCTGTCTGCATGAGTTTGAATCTCAGGCTCGGCTAACGTGGGTATGTGAGTAAGCCTGCCAGTAGCTTCTTGAGGGTCGGTGGTTCTTCCCGGGGTTTTCCAGGGTTCTTCCTCCACCAATTATACTGGCCGCCATGTACAGTATATCTTGTGCTGAAAAATGGCGTTAAACCCAACAACAACAACAACAACAACAACAGCAACAACAACAACAACAACAACCTTAAATACACCAAAAATGAAACGTTGATATCATTGGTTATTGACTGAATATGAACTGCTTGAAAAATTGTTGTTGTTGTGGGGTTTAACGCCATTTTCAGCACACGATAGGCTATACATGGTGGCCAGTATTAATGGTGGAGGAAGAAACCGGGAAATCACCGGAAAGAACCATCGACCCACAAGAGGCTACAGGCAAGCTTTCTCACATATCCATATTCGCCGAATCCTAGACTCGAACCAACGCTGGCAGAGGTGAGATGGAAGTGACCCGTAACGGAGAGCGCTTTAGACTTGAAATGGAAATAATTCAAACTTCAAAATCTTTGGATGACAAATTAAACTTAATAAAATTATTATCCAAAAAATTCCTTCACAGTCAGGATTCATGAATACATTGCTTGGTGTGTTCAGGCTGTCAAAAGAAGATTTTTCTGAGAGAATGTTTATAACTAGTAGTTTCTATATAGTACCTGTTCTTCCACACCCACCCACCCACCCCAAACTTTGCGCATGCTCTTGAATAGTAATCATTAGTAGGGAAAAATATTTGTTGGGGTTTTAGCAACAAGAAAATGTATGTAAGGGTGGGCAACAGCTGATACACCTTTTTGTACAAATAAATACTATTAACCACAAGAAGGACGTTCATCCATAAGCATTGGATTATTTCAGAAATCATCTGCTTCCTGCCTCTTCAGGGATGATTTAAGAAAATTAGAATTCGTTTCTGTGCTTTTAGAAAAGCAGTTACAATTAACTTCATGATCAGATGTCATTCACACAGTGTATTATGGCGTAAGATTCTGTCTTTGGAGTTAGTTGTAAGATTGGAATGTGCAGTGGCGTAGCGAGGGTACTTTTAGCGCCCTGGCACACAACATAAACTTGTCGCCCTCTTCAAGTGCATCTGAGATAACCCTATATTAAAACCATATGCCATACATAAATTTTAAGTACTACTACATTAATTATTCATAAGAAAACACAAGAAATGAATGGCACAAATTACTATAAAACTTTAGTTGTATTTTCCTCATTTTGGTGCCCTGGGACAACTGTCCCTACTGCCCTCCACAGGCTATGCCACTGGGAATGTTGGATTTTAAATTGTTGTTCTTCAGATACTGAAGAACGATTTTTTTTGTTCTAGTATCTATGTACTATGGCAACGATGCACTGAGCGCTGTTGAGTGTGGAACGCCGTAAATTCATGGCGACCATTGAATGTTTTTCGTCGTAGTTAAGCAGGGCGAACCGTGATTGATGTGTAAGAGACGTATTTGTTGAAAAGCTGTTGACATAGTTGACTGTGACAACAGTTAGGTACCAGCATGGCGTCAGTGACAGTTTGCTGATATTTTATACCTTGAAGAATCAAAATGTGAAGATCAGTTTTTAGTCGGTAAATCTCTGAAAAGTTTATATATTTCAATGCCATATTTAGAACTGGTTTATGTGCGCTTTTTAAGATGATTTACTCATTATGTTTTAATGTAATCATATATTTAATAAGGTTCGGACTTTACCTTTTGGCAGAAGGTTCTTGGTTCGCCGCGCGGAGTGACCAAATGTCTTTGTGGTTTAGATTGGATAGCACTGAACGTGTTGAAGTTCTCAATAGGTAATACAAAGAAGCTTAAGCAAGTATTGTCAAAAGTAGGGATGAAAACAATAAAACCGGAAAATACCTTCTTTAAATATACTGATCAAGTCGCGTCAAAATAGATCTGAACAGTATTGTTTTGACCTCGAATACTTCTCACAAATGAGGAATGATATACTTGTACCACCTACGCTGTCGTATTAAGAACGTCTACTTCCGCAAGAACTTATGCAGCTGTCTAAGGTTGCCACCTTATGTCCCATACGGGATGAAGAGGACTAGCTAACTATAGTACAACTCCCATAGCTCACGCACACGCTCTAAGTCAATATTTGCGGCTACATGTGTCATGTTTGAGAATTTGATTACGCATACCTTTAATTTTTAAAGACAATTTATGTGCAGATTATTCAAAAATCACGATTGAATCAACTTTGTTATCACTATATTGCAATTAAATTTTAAATATAAAATTAGTTTTAAATTTATATTAGTAAATGCTCTTGAATTACCCGTTTGACTTTTATTATAAATATGGCAGGTTAAAGTCATGTAGATTTTGTGACAGTAGCCACAATGGAAGGTTTATACAATATCAGAAAAACCAAAAGAAATTTTTAAGTACATTCTAAAATAGCTTGTACTTCGCTGTCGGTAATGAAACTCTAGAAATTAAAAAAGAACTTACTTAAAAAGAGCAGATGTATAGATTGATATGCTGTAGAACTAGAGAAGGCTGGTTGTTCGCCCTTACTTTTGTTGGAAAAAAAAATGTTTACGCCTGGTCTTACATTAGACGTTGGTAATGTTAATATTTATAGTCAACATGGCTAAAATACTGATAGATATAAAAATTATCGCATAACTACTGATGGAATCCTTAATTTTGCCATTGAAGAACACTTCTGTAGACTTATGCGAATCAATTCTAAATTTGCTTGAGATACGTCAAGATGCATTTGCGTTCAGTATAAAATATAAAAACATGTTTTGTTCACGAACTTAAAATTACAAGTATTGTTCAGTTGTTACAATGATAACTTGCTGTAAAAATTCTTGACATCAATGTATATGAGATTTATTGGTAATGGATAACATATCACATTTGCAGTTTACATGACTTTTGCAACATTGCAGAAAAGCAGCCTACAATATTTCCAATCATCTTGAAAGAGCTACCTGTACTTGGAGGTTCATTTTTCTGACCAAAATATATTAAATAAAACATGGATTGTTGTAGTAATGCTATAGAATTACCACTTAATTTACATGGAACTGGAAAGGGTTCAAGACAGCACTGGTAAGATGTGAGCCCGGAGATATAACACAATATACCGTTTCTCACTTTTCGCAAGAGACAAAAAGATAACGTTAGAAAGGTTCCCATTTACTTTATAATGTTTTCCTAATGTTGCACCATTTAAGTATTTTTTCATGACAAATACCCTTTAATTTCTATGTGAATGTAAAATTGATGCTGACAGGATCATTGGTGAAAGGTACGTGACAAATGTTCAAGTCTCCAATAATTTTGCATTGTGTTTTCATGCTAGAAGTTTAATTGTCCTCCACACTTAGAACATTCGTGTACACCTATTGGGACATCGGTCTTATAGGCTTACCTCTTTTTGCCACATACCCCCAACCCTTTCGCATAGATGCATGCCTTAAATTTGGAATATATATATATATATATATATATATATATATATATATATATATATATATATATATATATATAAGAAAATAGTTAACGACAGCAAAAATGACTTGCCTATGATTGACGTATTGAATCTCATACCTTTAAACCAAAAGATAGACTGAAAATACTTACTAATTTTTTCGGATCAAGTATTTGCTACTATACCTAAGGAGTTCAACAGTTAGTAGGCTTTTGAAAACAATGAAACAGTATACAGTCTGCCATGTGGATATTACATTTCAAACTGTAAACATCAGCTGGTGAGGTATATCACGTAGACATAGGTGTATCAATTTTCGTTCTTGTCAAACTTTGTATTTATTGCTTGATATTGACCAATGGTAACTTAATCTGTTTTCATACGAAAAAGTAAGTACATTTTATTTACCAAGCATGCAATGGATGAGTTGACTGACGCAAGTATTAGTTTAAAAGCACGTCAATAACTGTTTGTTTTTATCAGGTGCTGTTTTTAATTTTAAGACTTCTTGTAATGTAAATTTTCCACAAAATATCGGAGTTATGCGAATGGATTTTTCTTTCTCATTACAATCT